AAGCTAGCGGGCGCGCACTGGGCGCGCTCGTGCTCCACGAGCGCAGGGTTTCTAGCACTGATGTCTGTCATGCATATTGCGCCATCTCTCTGTCTGCAAGCGCGCCTTGGTAAAGAAAGCTGCATATAGAAAGCGCGACAACATGGGGCGCCCGATTTGTCGCGCAAGCTGAATGTAGCAGGGCCCCCCTGTCAGTGCCTACTTTGGCGGCAACTCGATTTACGTGGGCCACTCGGGCCTTCTGCGATGGAACGCTTGCCGGGCAAACCTCGCAGCCGTGCAACACATACTCCCCCTCTGCTGGGGCGGCAGGTTGCCCAGCCTCGAGCGGCCTTGGCCCCGGCGGCGGGATCCCTACAGGCAGTTCGTTGGAAAACATCACGGGCTTCACCCGACAATTACCTTAAAATCTTGCCCTCAAAACCCTGACTCCAGTGATCCCCCTTCTTCCGTCTCAAACAGAGCTTGCACGTCAGCGCAGAACTGTTGCGCCCGCGCGTGGGCCGTGGGCAGAATCTCGCCATCGCTCGAGACTTCGAGATTAGCTGACTCACGCCGTGCCCGACCTACCAGAGCAACAATGACCTGGCGTTGGTCACGCTGATGCGCAACATGACCTTGCAGCCACATGAACCGTCGAATCCTGAGCTCGACGAGGAGGGCCTCATTATTACTAGGTGCTCGTACTTTGCGCTCAGAACGCACTGCGCGCTTGCCGCGTAAGACCACGCGCGCACACATATCTATCAGCTGCTGCAGGAGGCCCAAGAGACTGCGTTACGAGAGGCTTCGTCGCACCGGCGGCGTGCGACTCCAGTCCCGAGAGGGCCGCGTTGATCACCGCCACCCGCGCGAACAACACCCTTAAATCTCATGGCCGCCTGAGCGGTTGCCCAAAAAGCCCCCATCTTGCGAAGCGCCGATTTGACAGCCAGGAGTCGAACATTTTTCTTCAGCAGAAATCCCACTGTTGTAATGTTGCGCCCCCCCAATGCACCAGGCCGCCGATACTGCGTTGCCCTTCGCCCCCAGACTTCCGGAGTGGAACGCGCGGTGGAACTCCGCCGCCAAGGGCCCAGCTCCCTGAACCAAATTAACCTGTTTGCCGTTTGCCGCTGTTCTAAGCTCCTCCAACCTCCTCCAATCCCGCACCAAACACTCGATTATCCGAGGAAGCCGCTCTCTGAAGGTGATGTCGATCTGCCCCCATGATTTGTCTAGCGACGTCGTCGACGAAAGCGCTGGTGGCCAGGTCGACGGTCCGCGCATCCTGCTGGGACTGGATGGCCTCGGGCATCGTCATGCGCAACGCTGCCTGCCGCGGGTTCTGGTTGAGATCCGATATCATGGACTCGACGCCATACCCATAGGGTTACACAAAAAACTTGGCGGCCGCATGATCATCTGGAAGTACGCTTGACACAGTCGCCATGTGAGCACTCGCTGATCTATCAGAAGTCACAAACGCACTGTTGAATATCCTCTGCAGGAACAGCCCCCCCCCCCCCCCCCTACCCTCCTGCGCCAGTTCTGCACCAGCACGTTCCACTACGTCTTTGCGCACGCAATAGGATGCGTTGCTGGCATCGGGGCACCTCGCGGCGCGCGCCACTCCCACTCTCCTCAATCGCGCCGACCCGCACTGTTGCGCCAACATTGCATCCTCACGACGTCGGCGTGCCATTGCACCGTGGACCCAACGCTGGTACTGCTGATCCTTTCTCATGAATGACCGAATGCAAGACCTGCCAATCACGGAACACCATGATCGGTCTCTCGTCTGCCGCGCCCAACTTGTCATCGTGCTTGGCCAGCCTGCAGCGCGACGCCCGATGCCAGACTGCTGGCGCTGTCCCAATAGTAAGAACACATCTGCACAGCAAGTAGAGCACCCTCACAAACCCTGGCGCCTGGACCTCCTCATCCTCCTCCTGCAATCCCAGCCCCCCCCCGCTGCGGACGACGGCGCCAGTTCGGCAGCGCCAGGGCTCGAAGAGCACCTCCTGACGCCGACCAGCTCGGTTGCGCTCGCCACGGCGGTAATTGCTCGAGCGTCTTCTTGAACCTCTCCACCGCGAACCGCGCGTCATCGTGGATCGCGCCACAGTCAACCATTTCACCTTTCTCACTGGGGTCAATTCCCAGCTTCGACGGCTCGCGCCGCGCACATCTTGGCGGGCCTGCTGCGTCGGCGCATGGGGGCCGCCAAACACCCGTCGCGATCTCTGGCTCTTAACCTCGCTCTAGCAACTGCGCCTCTGCCCCCCCCCCCGCCCACTCCAGCCAACTGGAACCGTTCAATGCAGTTTTCAGTAGTGGCCGTTGCAGCTGGCACCTTGTCGTGCATCCTTCCACTGGGGCCGCGACACGTTCCAGCTAGCAATCGCGACGTCTCACACGCGCCAGCAAGTCCCCTCGCCCTCCCGGCGACCCATAACCATTCGATCCTCTTCTCCGTGAACTTCTGGATTAACTGCCTGTTGTATCTCTCAACTTGCCGACTCATTCTGCATGCTTCAATGTTGCACTCCTCGGGGTAGTGGGATTCGCCTTCTTTGACCTGTCGGTTCGCTGCCAGCAGCACTTTCAACTGAATGCCCTGGGCCAGCGCGCCCCCCCCCCCCCCATGCCTCTCGTCAAATTTGCATGATGCCCGCGTTGATCTGGTCCGCATCTCCTGCGTGCCCACACTCCTCGAAGGCACTGCGACGCGATGTCAATGCTTCCTCTACTTGCGCCGCGAACTCTCGCCTGCACGCGCCATGGACGCCATGGAGTAAGACCGCATTGCAAGCGTCCTGAGTGCAGCGCAGCGCCTCGGGCCTCGTCAGACATTCAAGCGCGTGCCAACCCGTCAGGTAGGTCGGAAAATGATCCATCAGAGCATTGCATCTGATGCGGTGAAGCCGCCTCCCGTTGTGCATGAATGCCGAGCACTCATCTCTGTTCAGAACCACGTGGCGCGGGCGCGCCCACGTTGGACGAGATCCCATATATAATCAGTCGCGCCCGCGACAAAATACGCGTTGGCCGATGCCAAATCATGCGCCTGGAGCGCTGGCTTGATACTGCGAAAGTTTGGTCCTTCTGCCGCTGCTGCGAACGTGTCCGTCACTTGTGGTGCTGTCGCGCCCAGGCCACATTCTGAATTTAGATCGACGCCGATCAAAGATACACACCGTGCTGGAAGCTGGTTCAGCTGCTCGTGCAACCACGTAGTAAGCTCAGCTGATATGGCCTTCTGCTCGGCCACCGTACTTTTGCCCTTGCCTCTCTCGGCGGGTAGTAGAGCGAGAAGATCGCGAGGTCCTGACGCCCACTCTTGTTTCTGACCATCAAAACTCTGCCCTGGAGTCGCTTCTTCCCCTCAGTGATGCGCACGAGCTGAGCCTCGGCAGATCTTCTCTTCTGAAGTGCAACTGCCATTTTACAGAATCATTGCTGTCTCTGCTGAAGCCTGCATGCGCGAACAAGTGATATGCTGTGATATGCCGGGACGGTTCCCCTCTGCTCCTGATTGCGGTGCCCTGGCGCATGAGAATGTCTGGCGAGATGTCGTTGACCCTGGCGGGGGCGGAGAGGGTGAGCGGGTTGTAAACCACTGCGCGCAAGCCTCGCCAACCGCCGCCGCTCCCATCCCTGGGCCCACTCATGTTATCCATGGGTGCACTGTCCGCTAAAGCTGTCTGGTGTCGCTCGATCGACATAGGTAGCTGAGGAGGAGGAGGAGGAGGAGGAGGAGGAGGAGGAGGATCGAGTCGCGCGCAGCCACCGCCCGGCCGCCTTCCTTCCCCCCCATCCCCATTCCGCACTTTCTGCCCGCCCACACGCCATGGAACGCGACGTGGACCTCGGCGCCGCGCAAGAGGCTGGCGCCGCGCTGGCCGCGGTGGCGCTGGCCGCTGCCTGGGGGAGGTGTGACGGCGAGGACGACGAGGAGATGCCGCCGGCCGGCGCAGGCGCTGCGGGCGAGGAGCCGCCGCGGGGAGCCGCCGCCGTCCGCGCGGGGAGTGGGCCATGAACCTGCAGCCCGCCCCCAAGCGACCTGCCGCATGCAAGGGGTGCGCGATGCCCTTCGAAACAAGGAGCTACGCATGTGCTCCCGGGGCAGCCGGCATCGCTGCAGCTGGCTGTGCCTGGGGCGTGCCTCTGCAAGGGCAGCCTCTGACGATGACATTCGTCCGATTAACCCTCGTGCCCAGGGCGCGCGTGTCCAGGAGGCGCGGGCGGCGCTGGCCTCGGCGGCCGCCGGCCGCAGCAGCGCCGGCGGCGGACTTGGGCCAGACGTGCTGGAGGAGGGCCCGGCTTTAGGAGGGGCGACCAGCGCGCTGGAGTCGCCACTTTCGCGCAAGTGCCTGACAGGTTTCGCGGGGCAGCGACGCATGAGAGACGCAAGGCGCTGGAAGTGCTGGAAGAGGCAAGCCGGCGCTGAGATGCTGCAGCGGAAGGGAAAGCACCTTCAACGTGGTGCTGTTTCCTCGGCCCTGGGGGGCGGGCCCCACGTGCGCGGAACAACAGGAAGAGCGGCTGGCGCTGTGGCGGGGCGCTCAGTGGGCGCAGCTCCGGGCCTCGGCGACGAGCGGCCCGCCACCGCGAGCGCTGGCGAGAAAGACGACGGACAGGCAGGGGGCACGCCGGGTGCACACACTGGCTGCGGCTGGGGAGGAAGCCCGCGCGCTGGCAACAGCGGCGCAGGCCGAGCTCGCGCCGCGCACGGCCGACACCCTGCGCAAGCTGCGGGCGAGCTTCCTGGAGGAGCCCAAGGGCGGCGCAGACGCGGTGCCGCAGCCGCCCCCGCCCGCGCCGCCCGCGGCCGCCGGAGGAGGAGGAGGAGGAGGACGACGAGGAGGAGGAGGAGGAGGAGGAGGAGGAGGAGGAGGAGGAGGAGGAGGAGGAGGAGGGGGACGAGGGCGGGGAGGGGGCGGAGAAGGAGGCGGAGGAGGACCCCTGCGTCGCTCACGTGGCGAGCCCGCCCAAGGGCCTGGGCGGTGCCCCCCCGCGGGATCCTCGGCTCCCGCGGCGAGCCCCGCGATCTCCGAGCAGGTGATGGCCTCGAGCAGGATGCCGCAGCGGGAGGAGCACCTGCCATGCGGCGGGCTTGCAGCTGTTCGTGGAGGGCCCGCCTTGCAGAGGGCCTGCCTGCAGCCCGCCAAGCCCCTTCCTGGGGACGGGGGCGCAAACAGCCTGCCCCCGGTCCCCCGAGAGGGACGGGAGGATTCGGGAGGCAACTCCTGGGAGGTCCTCGCAGGAACGATCACGGGCTATTAGGCCCACAGTAAAGCGCCATCATGTGAGCCGGATCGGCCCAAATCCATGCTGGCACCAGGTCAGCCTAAACGGGATAACAACGTAAGCTGGGGTTGTATAAGGTTGGGCCAGTCTTTGACCACGGATATGCCAGCGCCGATGCCAGCCAGGAGGGGGCCAAGAGCGAAGGGAAGGAATGCGAGGATGGCCAGGTGCGAGCGCGGTGTTCAATTGTTAGGCGTAGCGGCCATCACCCCCCCCCCCTGGTGATGTAGCGTTCGGGGCCGGCGGGATCGGGCATACTGTGGAATACAAGCTTCAAACCAGGCCCGATCCCGCGGGCGCAAAACATTACGTCAACGACCCCCCACAACCCCCCTGTGACACCTGTTACGCCGCGCGGAGAAAGAAAAGCTGGCTCAACGGACGGCTTTTGCCCCGTCTCGGTCAATGAGGGGCTCTGACCAGGTCCTAGGCGTGTCAATAACTGCTCAGGACGAAAAGCTAGTCCCTGGTGAAAATGTTGCGAGAGTCTTCAGAAGTCCAGGTTGTGAGGGGGATCAGAGGGGGGGTCTGAGGAGGACGGGGGGCCAACGCGCAAGAAACTGGAAGAGAAGGAGGAGCAGAACCAGCGTAAACCCAGCACGCATCGCCGCTGCTGCAATACGATAGTCGAAGCGAGCAAAACGGATCGAGCCTAGAATGAATGACGCAAGGCGCCTTCAACGCGCCAAGATGTCAGAGTACCCTCAGACCGAGGAGAATCAGAATCATCGAAAGTAGAGCAAAGGATGCCCAGAATCGAGGGGTGCAAGGGTGCCTTACTGCAAGTGCTTATCCTCAACCCTGGCTCTGACCGTGCCGCCCTCTTCAGGCCGCATCCCCAGCAGTCCTTCCACAACGTCGTCCTCTACACTCCAGCCGGCGCCCTTGCCCGAAATGGGAGGACCCCAATCGGCCTGCAACGGGGTCTGGGCCTGGGGAGGGCTGGAACGATTACGGTGATGGCGTGTCGCTGTGCTGCGTGGGACGGGAGGCCGGGAACAGCTCGGAACAGGGATGCTCAGGGACCAGGGCGTGCTGAGCGCGTGATGCCGAAACGCGGTGGGCCAGAACCAGCGGTGCGACAGGCAAACGTTCGTGACTGTGTGCTCCTGCGGCCCCGTCCTGAGGCTTGGGACCCTAAGAGGCAGCCGGGGGCGGAGATGTGCTGCCCTGCCGCGGGAGGTGGCAGGACCAGAATGCTGGGAACCCTGCAGGCGTTGCGCTGAGCATGAACGGCCAGACTAAGATTCGACCGCATACCGTGGCGAAGCGCATGGAGAATGCGAGGGCACCGCCCTCCGTCTACGTAGCTGGCACAAGCTTCGTGACAATCTCTGCGGCGTCGCAGTGAGAGCGCGATTTTGAAAACGAACAGTACGTAGCTGCTGGAATTGCCAACAGTCGTGACAATGAACCGTATGCAAGTTCTAGGCGGAAGACACCGCGACAGGAGCAGGCCTCAGTCGGCAATGTTGGAGGTGAGTATGTAGTTGCAAACGCGTCGGAACGTTCAAGCGAGAGTCATAGTTAAAAGAGCCGCCTGAGCCGATGCTTATAATTTTAACGTCATGATCTATCTCCATATCACTGCGAGGTCAGAGTGAAGGCATACCCCACCGCCGAGGGAAACGGCGCTCCAGGACCCCAAGCGGCGGTGGAAATGTATATTTTCAGGCATCGGGCGGGCCGAAGATCTTCAGATTCACCGCCTCCTAGCGTCTTGGGACATCGATTCCTCAAGCGGTAGATACGTGTAAAATCTGGCATCGAAACATCAAGGAGCAAATCCAGAGGCCGATGCTGAAAAGGTGTGCCTTCCATCCATGCCAGTGCTGAACAACTAAACCTCCAACTCCACCACCAGCACGACTGAATCGCAATCCAAATCAACAGGTTGAGAACAACAAACACCCTCCATCCGGGTAGCTGTTTCGGCGGCGAGCGAGGGGGGAAGTGAGAAGGAGAAGGCCTCCTCAGAGGGTTCGGAAGCCCCTCGGTCGTCTGAGAAATGTTCCGAGCCTTCCCCGGATACCAACAACAACTTCTCAGAAGGCGCGAGGGCTTCCGAGAATTCCCGCCGCCTTCTGCCAAGGTCTTCTCTTTACCACTTCCCCCCCTCGCTCGCCGCCGACGGTTGCAACTTGCAGACTCACATGTCATAGAATGTAGAGGCGCCGCTGACGAGATCGATGTTTCGGAAACGACTGGCCCTTCATCCGCGCAGCCGTGCCATATTACTCAATGGTGTTCGCATCGACGTGAAAATGCTCTGCCCGTGTTCGATGGAAATACTAAATTCGCGTCTGAGCGCCTTCCTCCTCCTCCTCCTCCTCCTCCTCCTCCTCCTCCTCCTGTCCTCCGCGGCCCCGCCTCCACCCTTTTCCCCCTCTTGCACGCCGGCCAATCAGCGCATCGCTCGCCCCGACTCGCCGCCGGCTGGAGCAGCTTCTTCTCTGTCTGTCCACCGACGTAAAAAGTGTTCATGCTGGGAACGTGCAAACATGTAGGACAATGATCTGTGATGAATTCTCGAGCGAAGCTCCCGGCCGCACTATCGACAAGTCTGGTGGCGAAGCTAGGAGGCGGTCGGTTCTCGGGAAGAGGTGCGAGGGAGGGAGAGGGGAGGTGGGGGAAGCCGGAGGAGGAACGGAAGGAGGAGGAGGAGGAGGAGGAGGAGGAGGAGGAGGAGGAGGACCCAGAGCGCCGTCACCAGGCTCAAAAAATCTGAGACCTGGGGTCCGCCGCTCTGAGGAGGACGCGGAACGGAAAGCCCCCCGAGGGCCTGTCGTCCACAGCGAACCCCCGCAGCTCGAACTCGTACTTCGTGCCCGGCAGAAGGCCCCAGACAATGTGCCTCCGCCGACTGCGGCCAGCCCCGCCGTGCGCCATCTCCACCCGCAGCGGCTCCCCCGCGGCGCCGCCCGCAGCCTCGAGCACCTGCGGCGCCGCGAGAGAGGCGCGGCTCGGCGCATCCGCCCCGAGCTCGGATGTGACACTTCGAGGTGCGCCCCCAGAGGTCCCGACCGAGCCCTTCCGCGGGGCCAGCTATTCTCAGACACGCGCAAGAGCGACCCCTTATAGGCATGAGCGACCTTTGGTGCACGGCTCCAGGCGGCCGCGGGGAGTCCAAGCCGAGCGCGCGTGCCAATGCTCTGGGGGCCCGCGCGGCCCCTGGCAGCCCGCGGCAGAGGTCACCCCTCCGGCGAAGGGTCACGCTCATGGGACGGTGGGGAGGAGGAGGAGGAGGAGGAGGAGGAGGAGGAGGAGGAGGAAGAAGAGGAGGAAGAGGAGGAGGAGGAGGAGGAGGAAGAGGAAGAGGAAGAGGAGGAGGAGGAGGAGGAGGAGGAAGAGGAAGAGGAGGATCCATGCTTGATGGCCCTGGGGACCGAGGGCGGGCCCCGGGGACCGAACTCGAAGGAACAGCGCCCGGATCGAGCCAAAGCAGTGCGCCGTCGTCGGAGCAGGGCGGCCCGAGACAGCGGCAGCCACAAGCATCGCTCCCCAGACCCCTCTCGGGGCCCAAACGCACCAGTGCATGGAGCTGCGCCCAGCCGTGGCGACGACGGCCCCCCCCCCGGAGACCAGCTGCCGCTGTCACTTGGCTATCGTCGGACGTCGGAACTCCGGGTCCTTTTCGCCCGCCACGGAAACTCGCGGCACCCAAAACGGCAACATAATTCTGGACGCTTTGCGGAACCCCACCAGCCCATCCAGAGACGATGCCCAGGAGTTGCCTCGATCAGGGAAGTGGACGGCACGCAGAGGAAGGGTCCCTCTTGGGGCGCTCTTGGGACACTCTTGGGCGCTCTTGGGGCCGTATTGGGGTTTTCTGGGGCCTATCTTGCATCTTGGGGGCCTCTTGACGGTCCCGGGGGCTTCTTGGAGCGTCGCGGGTGCCTCGGGGAGCCTCTTGGGGCCGCTTGGGGGTCTCTTGGGAGCCTCTTGGGGGCCTCTTGGGGGCCTCTTGGGAGCCTCTCTTTTTTTGTTTCCCAATCTTCAGGTGCCTTGCTCTGACAGGCGCTTCCCTGTAAACCCGCACGTGGGCACAGACGGCCACAAGTGAAGCGGCCGCTCCGCCCAAATGCACCCAGACACTCAGGTCCGAAACGCAGGAGCGCCAGGTACGAACACTGCTGCGCCGTGGTTGGGCACAGCCAGCATGCTTACACAAAAGTGGCACGCAAGCGTGGCATGCGTGCGCGACAATCGGAGTGAGGGGTTGCCGATCACGCGAAACCATTCGAAGGCATGCTCCGAAAACCGGAGTGAAGGCTTCCGCTCACGCGGGTCCATCTCAGATCGTGCGCGCGTGGGCTGTCTCGGGACAGGCAGACGTCGCCGCGTCCATCTTATGGCGACTCGTGTTCTCATGTGTCGTCGTCGTCGTCTTCGTCTTCTTCTTCTTCTTCCTCCTCCTCCTCCTCCTCCTCCTCCTCCTCCTCCTCCTTCTTTCCGACTCGGGGCCGTGGGCCCACGCGCACACGTGGGGCCCCGGGGGGGGGGGCGGTCCCGAGGGGCCCCACCGCGGGGGGCCCGCGGCGTCGCGGGGGCCCGTCGCCGCGGGGCCCACGGGTGGCGTGGGCCTCGGTGCCGCGGAAGCGCAGGGGAGAGCAAGAAGATATGGGCGCCTGCGGCGAGCCGTCGTCGTCGTCGTCCTGTTCCTCCTCATCATCATCATCATCCTCCCACTGCGCTCCCTCCGAGCGATGATGAACCGGCCAGTACACCTCCTACCCACAATCCTCATAGGCCTCCTTTGGGGTCGGCGGCAGAGGCGGCAGCCTTTAGATCCGGCCGCTCCCGCCCCGCGGTGTGGGCCGTGCGAGACCTCTCTGACAGAGTGTTTGGCACAGTCTTTGGCCCCCTTCTCCAGTGCCTGGTCAAAAACCTCCTGAAAGTCCCTCCGAGGGGGCCCCACTCTGCCGCCGGCCCCCCGCCAGCCCCCCCCCCTTCAAGGTCTCAAACGGCCCGGGGACGACCCAAGGGCGCCCTAAGCCGGTCCTAGAGAGTCCCGAGCAGTCCAAGAGAGCCTCCAGACGGCTCCAGATCGCTCCAAGACGCCAAAGATAGCCTCCAGACGGCCCAAGACGACTCCAAGACGGCCCAAGAGGCCTCCAAGAGCACCCCCGAGAGAGCCCCAACATGCAAAAATCATTGATTTTTCAATGGTTTTTGAAGGATTTTCGCGTTCTTGCCATTTCGGCTTACCCACGCTCCAAGACGGCCCAAGAGGCCCCCAAGATCGCCCCAGGACGGCCCAACAAGCCCCCAAGAGGGCTCCAAGACGGCGCAAGAGGGCCCCAAGACGGCCCAAGAGGCACCCAGAACGGCCTAAGAGAGGCCCCAGGACGGCCCCAAGAGGGCGCTCAGAAGGGGAACCCGAATGAACATTTTGAGCTTTCGGTCCCAAGAGGCCCCCAGGGGGCTCTTAGAGGCCCCCAGGAGGCCCCCAAGAGGCTCCAAGAGAGCCCCCAAAGGCCCCAAGAGGCCCCCAAGAGGCTCACAAGAAGCCCCCAGGAGGCCCTCAAGATGCCCTAAACTCCCCCGCAGAGGCCCCGAGAGCCCTCTCGAGACCTCAAGAAGCGTCCACGAGGACTCCGACCCAAAACCCAAGCACGGTGGCGGGATGGGCCGCGCCACGTCACGACTTTCGATGCTGCGCGATCTTCGGCAAACTCCCAGGGAGCGGCCGGTGATGCGCCGCCGGCGTCCTCGATATGGGCGCCTGCGGCGAGCTTCTTCGTTGAATGCTTTGCTTGAGCTGGGTCAATGGCCCGTTCGGGGGGGCACGCGGCGTCGTGCGGCCAAATCAGTGGCGCTGGTCTTGGCTGCGCAGAAGTGACTGCTGAAAATCAAGCGTCGGCGCCTGCGGCGGGCTTCTTCTTTGCTCGTTTCACAGCGCGTCGCGCCGAGACCCTCACTCCTGTCCGCACTTGCGAGGGTATCGATGGACAGTCGCGAACTGTTGCTTAAAGTGTCGACATGGCGTGGGGCGGGAGGCTGGGAAAACTCGGGACGTTGACGCTGGGCGGCCAGGAAGCGGACAGCGTGCCGCACCGAAACGTGGTGGGCCAGAACTGGTGGAGCGACACGCTATCCAAGCATTCCCGACCGCATGCTTATGCCGCTTCCCTGGAATCTGACGGCGCGGAAGGAAACGAGACATCGTAGGAATCGCGACCAGAGCCCCAGACCCCATCCTTCTGCATCAGTATCCGAGCCCGGTCGACGCGTGAGGGTCCTGGGGCCCGAAACTGGACGAAACAACGCCCGTTGCGAGAAGGAGGAGGAATAGGAGGAGGAGGAGGAGGAGGAGGAGGAGGAGGAGGAGGAGGAGGACAAACTCGCCACGCCAAGTTCTCAGGCATCTCTCTTCTTCGAGAAGCGGGGCCGGGCACCGCCACCAGGTACGGGTACCCGCCGTCGTCCCCCACGACGCCCCACTCGAGCGCCACCGAACGCGGGCCAACCTCCACGACCTGTGACGGGTCGATCTCCCACCACCGCTACCATGGGCAGGATGGGGAAGATGGCAGGATGGGGAGGCTCCTCCGCCTCCGCCTCCGCCTCCGCCTCCGCCTCCGCCTCCTCCTCCTCCTCCTCCTCCTCCTCCTCCTCCTCCTCCTCCTGCCCATGGCCGTGGTGGTGGGAACTCGGCCCCCCGACCTGGGCCCAGGGCACGCGCGCAGCGCTGGGCCCCTCGGAGGCGCCCGCGGCGGCCGGCGGCGCCGCCTCTCGGAGGACCGCGCCGCAGAGCCGAGGCATCGGCGACGCGGCCCGACGTGGAGCCCGGCGGTCTCCACGCCGACGTCGCCGATGCTAGGAAGGCACCAACTATACACCAACACCGATCCTGGCCAGGATCACCCTGGGCCCAGGATCGGTGCATACGCCCTCCTGCCTTGGGCAAGAAGGCATGTACACCGATCCTGGGCCCAGGGTGATCCTGGCCAGGATCGGTGTTGGTGTATAGTTGGTGCCCTCCGACGATGCTCGGCGGCGGGCGAGGGGGGGAAGCGAGAGTAGGGGGGCGAACAAAAACACGAACGTATAAAAACACGGAGGTCCGCGCGGAGTACTTGGATCGGCGCTGGGGCCCCCTGGTGCGGACCTCCGAGTTGTGATGTTCATGTCATTGCTCGTTCCCCGAGGCCTTCTCAGAAGGCGGCGGGAATTCTCAGAGGGCCCGTGGTCTTCGGGGCCGCCCCTCCCCACTTCGTCCCAGGCGCGCCGCAGAGCTGCACCGCAAGCGTCGCCGATGCATCGGCGATGCTGGGCGATCTCCGACACCATCTGCTCGGACCCCATCTGGGAGGCCTATGTGCAGTAGTGGCGAGGGGGGGGAACACTGTCGGCCAAGCTGTACTGCTCCAGGCCTCTCTCCTCTCGTCCAGCACCGGCCTCTGGGAGCCTTCACCGGGCCCCGGGACCGTCAACAAACGGCTCGGGATACGAAACCGGCGCTGGGGAACGAGCCTGTGCAAAAATCCGGATGTCGGAGAATCTGGAGTCAAGCTACTACAAGGAATGCAAGGTAAGGAACGCATCCCCCTTTCAGGCCCCAAGAGCGCATGGGTGCACGAATTGCGAGACCCTTCCGAACCCGAACTGTTCCTCGTTTTAGCGTCTTGGCGGTAATTATCGGGGGCGCGCAAACATGGATTAGCGATCCATGGATTTGGGGCGCGAGCGCTAAATCCATGGATCGGGGGAGGTGCCCTCCCCAAAATGCGGCCAGTGCCGTCTCGTTCGGCGGCGGAAATCCGCGACTTCCCATGGAAGCCCGCCTCGTTCGGCGGCGGAAATCCGCGACTTCCCATGGAAGCTGGACCCGTCGCTAATCCACGCCCCCTTGATTCATGTTTGCGATCGCCTGAAATTAGGGGTCGCCAAGGAAACGGGCCCCCCTGGACCCCCGTCCTTCCCCCTGGACTCTCTGAGGCGCCAAATGAGCATCCGAAGCCTCATCGGCCCTCGACCCTCCCTTCTCCTCGACCCTCGCTTTCCAAGAGGTGGTCCCCCCCCTGGTGGTGGCCCGCCCTGTGGCTAGACCCCCCCGGCGCTCCCCGAGGCCTCCGGGGCGACCGTCGCGCTCTCCTCGGCCGCCGCACCAAGGGGTACTGGCGGCACCACCGGCGGCACCCGCAGCGTCAGGGCTTTCAGCGAGGGATCACCCGCGCCCTCAGCGGCGGCGCCGTCCTCGTGCTGCGGGGCCGTGGGCAGGGTCAGGTGGACGGCCGAGGCGGGGCTGCGGCGACGGCCCGGCAGCAGCACCGACACGGCGGCGATGTACGTCCTGCCCCTGGACATGGCGAACTCCTCCTGGGTGGAGCTCGTGAGCCGCACCAGAACGGGGGTCCGCGTGCTCCCGAGCTCGGACAGAACCTGTCTCACGCGCGCCTTCGCGCGCCCGCTGGGGCCCTCGTGCAGGCTCCCGCACTCCCACAGCGTGACCTGGTAGATCACGCCCACGTCTGTCAGGCCAGGCGGCCGGGCCCAGCTAATCTGGCCACGCATGCTCGTGGGGTGCACAATGCTCTTGACCTTCGGCGCTGGCACCTCCGCGATGGGCTCGTCCCCTTCAGCCAGCGGCACGCGGCCGACAATCTCGGTCCAAGCTCCCGTACCCTTCCCGCCCCAGGGGCGCACTCGCGCGTCCACTGGTCTCTCGGGCGCATGCCCTGGCAGCACCACCACCACGGACAGGTCCTGCAGGCCACCGGGTGCCCCCGACACGTCCAGGTGGAAGGCCACGACCTCCCCGCCCTGGGCCCCCACTTCGACGTCGTATCCGAGCACGGACTCGACGCTCCAATCCACGCCCTCCTCTCGGGTCGGGCGAAAGGGGGGGATAGCAAAGGGGGGGTTTGAGAATCAGCTCACGTAGCTGATTTTCCCGGCGCCTCCCGGCGCCGGGAGGCGCCCATGTATCGAGGAATGGGCCCCTCGGTCGGGCCGAAACCAGCTGCATGCAGCAGATTTCGTAACCCCCCCTTTCCCAAACCCCCCCTTTCGCCCGGCCCGATCCTCTGGCGCCAGCCACGAGAGCACCAGCGGCCCAGCACCGCCACCGCAGATGCTCAGGCCGCTCACGCGCCCTGGGGCCGCCAGGGCCTCGGGCCCGCCCGCGGTATCGGCCACAGCGCCGCCTGCCACTGGCCGCCTCTGGGCCGCGGCCGAGTGCGGCGCCCCAGACCGCGGAGAGCCGGGCGCCGGAGCGTTCCCGGACGACGCCGCCGCGCGGCGGGGCGACCGCGGCGGCGCAGGCGCCGTCTCCGCGCGGCGAGGGGACCGCGGCGCCGGCCATCCGCCGCTCCCAGGCCCCACCTCCAGGCGGGGAGACTTCTTCGGCGCTGGCCATCCGCCGCTCCCCGGCCCCACCTCGCGGGGGGATTTCGGCGCCGGCCACCCGCCGCTCCCCGGCCCCACCTCCAGGCGGCGGGGGGACCGCGGCGGCGCCTGCCGCTCGTCGCCGACTCTGGGCGCCGTCTCGTCGTGGCGGCGGGGGGAGCGCGGCGGCGCCGAGCGTTCGCCGCCCTCGGGCGCCGTCTCCGCGCGGCGGTGTGACCGCGGAGGCCGCGACGCCGCCTTCGGAGCTGCCGGCTGGCGCGGCCCGCCCGGGTCGTTCGCCATGGGCGCGGCCCCCCCGCACGCGCGCAGGCCAGCCTGGGCCTGGGCCATGGCGGCCGCAGGAGGGCACCGCAAGACTCGGGGAACGGGGGGCCGGGAGGGGCTCTCGCTCTGTCCGCTTTTCGTGCGTGCGTTCGTCGTCGTCGACGACGACGTCGCGGCCGCCATCGTCACTGCCACCGTCGTGGTCGTTGTCGCGATTGCAGTCGCTGGCGCACTGAATAGGACTGCGTTCCTGTGCCGTTCGGTCAGCACCAAACCACCCGCGGTTCACCCGCGAGCCGTCCCAGCCCAACCGCATGTACACCCTTCTTGACAAATGCAGCAAAGAACGGTCCGCCCTTCCCGCAGCGACCAGCTGGTGCCGCGTTCGCTGCTGGCAGGCGACCAGTGATTGGCCCTCCCACGATCCGTCCGCGTCTCGCTTGGCCCTGCTCTCTGAACATCCTGCGCACGCGGCACGCTGTGTCTCACGGTCCTCCTTCACGTGCCTCGCGTGATCTTCCATGTAGGACTTGTCGCTTTTGCGATGTGTGTCAACCTCTGGACAACTCTGGACCAAAACAGGAGTCGACCGCCGCCGCCGACAGATTTACATCGCACCCTGATTGTTGAGCGACGCAGGACTCAGCGCCACGTTGACCGTAGGTTAGACGAACCAAGAACGTACAGCCAACAAACCCACTATCAAGACTCGGATACTTTTGGCCAACAGCAACAACGACAATGAAGATTACGACGTCGACAGCGGCGGCGACAGCCCTCCTCCTGATCCCTCCTCCCCTTCTGTCCCTCCCGCCCTCGCGCAGGACGCAGCGCACCACTCCGCCGCCGCGTCCGCCGCGCGGAGCTTGCGCTGGCTAGCCAGCGCCGCTATCCTCACCACCACCTCCCTACTGCCCTCCCTCTCTCCCCCACCTCCGTCCGTCTCTCCTTTCCAGACCCCCGACCTCATGAACTTGTCATGACGTCGACCGCCAGTAGAGGTCTCGACCAATTCCCAGGGACTGGCTTGTAATCCCGCCTCGTTTTCGTCGACGGTCCCGAGGCCCAGCGAGGGCCTGGGAAGCAGAACATCGCGAAAGACCAAAAACCTCCCGTCATCATGTTTTCATGACCCGAAATGGACCTCTCCTCCTCCTCCTCCTCCTCCTCCGCCTCTTCCCTTCCTCCTCCTCCTCCTCTCCTCCTCCTCCTCCTCCTCCTCCTCCTCCTTTCTCCTCCTCCTCCTCCTCCTCCTCCTCCTCCTCCTCCTCCTCCTCCTCCCCCTCCTCCTCCTCCTCCTCCTCCTCCTCCTCCTCCTCCTCCTCCTCCTCCTCCTTTCTCCTTCTCCTCCTCCTCCCTGGGCTCCCGGCATGGCCGTGGAGAACCCCCCCAACAAAAAACGTGAGAGGGACCCCTGGACGGCCTGCCGCGCACCCGAGGCCGGCGGGCCCCGAAGGCCGCACGCACTCGACCACGCGCCGGGGAGGAGGGGAAAGGGAGGAGGAGGAGGAGGAGGAGGAGAAGGAGGAGGAGGAGGAGGAGGAGGAGGAGCAGGGGAACGGGAGGAGGAGGAGGAGGAGGCGGAGGAGGAGGATGAGGAGGAGTAGGAGGAGGAGGAGGAGGAAGATGATGAGAAGGAGGAGAAGGAGGAGGATGAGAAGGAGGAGAAGGAGGAGTAGGAGGAGGACGAGGAGGAGGAGGAAGAGGAGGAGAGAGGAAAGCTCCTCCCTCCCTCCTTCCCTTCCTCGATCCGTGGCCCTGGCGCCACGCCCGCCTTCTAGGCCTGTCTGGTGGCCAGGCGGCATCGGCCGGAGATCCGCCCGTCCACGACAAAAGGGTGTGTGCAACGCCTTCCTTCTTCCCGTCCCTCCTCTTCGCCTCCATCCCTCCCCGCTTCGCCCCCTCCCCCCCCTCCTCCTCCTCCTCCTCCTCCCTCCTCCTCCTCCTCCTCCTCCTCCTCCTCCTCCTCCTCCTCCCCCCCTCCTCCTCCTCCTCATCCTCCTCCTCCTCCGTCCTCCTCCCCTCCTCCTCCTCCTCGTCCCTCCCTCCTCCTCCTCCCCTTCCCACTCCTCCTCCCCTCCCTCCCCTCCCCCGCCCCTCCCCCTCCCGCTTGTGGTGTCGCCCTACTTCGTCCGCTGGTCTCCGCTGCTTCCTCTCTGCTGCCCTCCCCTGCTGGCGTCAGCCTGTACCTGTACCCGCGCCTGTTGGTGCCGTGCCGCCCGCTGTCTGCATGTCGACGTTTACCGTTACGCAGAGCTAGTCCATGGCACCGTTTGCGTTCAATCCGACCTTGACCAGAGAACATCGGCTGCAGGACAATACGCAGAAACACACTTGTGTAGTACGTACCTTTGATATTATTCGCATCTACCTGCCGAGCGTTTTAATATGATTGTAGTGGATCCTCCGCCCCTCCCTCCCCCGCCTTGCCGGTAAGATGTAGATCCAAATCCACTGCATACCTACACGACCACCCTTCGTGTGAGAAGGAGGTTGTTGGGTGGGAAGGGGGGGGGAACCAACACCTGACTCAATCGATCTCACTATCGATTTCACTCAACGGGACACCACGGGACACCACGGGACACTTGTCGATCTCACTACCGATCTGACTCAACGGGACACCACGGGCCACCACGGGACACCACGGGACACCGCGGGACATCTCTCGAACTCACTATCGGTCTCACTATCGATCTCACTCAACGGGACACCATAGGACACCACGGGACACTACGGGACACCGCGAGCCACCTCGGGACACCACATCGATCTCACCATCGATCTCACTATCGATCTCACTCAACGGGACACCACGGGACACCTCGGGGCACCCCTCGAACTCACTATCGGTCTCACTATCGATCTCACTATCGATCTCACTCAACAGGACACCACTGGACACCACGGGACACCACGGGACACCTGTCGATCTCACTATCGATCTCACTCAACGGGACACCACGGGACACCACGGGACACCTCGGGGCACCACATCGATCTCAGTATTGATCTCACTCACTACCGATCTCACTCAACGGGACACCACGGGACACCACGGGACACCTCGGGACACCACGGGACACCTGTGGTTCTCACTATCGATCTCACTATCGATCTCACTCAACGGGACACCACGGGACACCACGGGACACCTCGGGCACCACATCGATCTCAGTATCGATCTCAGTATCGATCTCAGTACCGATCTCACTATCGATCTCACTCAACGGGACACCACGGGACACCACGGGACACCACGGGACACCGCGAGCCACCGCCAGACAGACGGACGGACGGACGGGCGGACGGGGGAGAATCATTTGTCTTGCTTTCGCCCTAGTAACGGCGAACACCACGGTACACTACGGGACACCACGGGACACCACGGGACACCGCGGGACACCGCGAGCATCGCCGGACGGACGGACGGACGGACGGGCGGACGGGGGAGAATCATTTGTCTTGCTTTCGCCATAGCAACGGCGGACACTACGGGACACCACGGGACACCACGGGACACCGCGGGACACCGCGAGCCACCGCCAGACGGGCGGGAGGGGGAGAATCATTTGTCTTGACTTCGCCCTAACAACGGCGGACACCACGGGACACCACGGGACACCACGGGACACCGCGGGACACCGCCGGACGGGCCGGCGGGCGGGGGAGAATCATCTGTCTTGACTTCGCCCTGGCAACGGCGGACACCACGGGACATCACGGGACACCGCGGGACACCGCGGGACACCGCGAGCCACCGCCGGACGGGCGGGCGGGCGGGGGATAATCATCTGTCTTGACTACGCCCTAGCAACGGCGGGCACCACAGGACACCACGGGATACCACGGGACACCGCGGGACACCGCGAGCCACCGCCGGACGGGCGGGCGGGGGAGAATCATTTGTCTCGACTTCGCCCTAGCAACGGCGGGTTCACTCCTCTCGCGCGCCCACGCAGCTTCGCCTCGCCCGCACGCACGACACGAACGAAACAAAACGATTTCCCGGTTGGGGGTCTCCGTTCCGCTGCGATCTCACCCCCCAACCTCCGATTTGGGCTTCGGGCTCTCTTCCCCCGACACCTGAGGCCAAATGGATATGGGCACAAATCTAGACCCTGGCGGCTAGATTATTATCCAGGTCTACTGCGCCTCGGCCTTCGGGCGGCCCCGTCCCCCTTCCATATCCCAGAAGGCCGAAACTCTAGAAGGCAGAGGCGTGCGGGCAAGGTTTGTAACCATACCCACTGCGGGTATGGATCCAAATCTTGTCCGCTCTCCTCTCACTCGGAATGCCTTGTGGGATCTGCTTGAGAACAGGAGCATGCCATAGACGGATCGACCATTTCTCCGGCCTTGTACTGCGCCGAACGCGACGGCCGCGTTGCTCATTGACGCATCCACCCCGAATGCGTCTGCACACGCAACAGAACCCACTGTGTCTGTAGACGCTTGCGGCTAGACAACGAGGGTGGCATATGGCATGGGCGGCATGGGCCTCAGACGTTGGTCTTCTAGAGGCAGGTCGACCTTACCCGCGCCCTCCCTCCACCTGCCCTCCCGCGGGCGGGCGCCCCCCTCCCTCCCCCCTCTCCTCCCGCGGGCGGGCGCATTCCTCCCCCTCCCCTCCCCTCCTCCTCCTCCTCCTCCCGCCTCCTCCGGGGTGGGGGGGGGGGGGGATGGCGTGCGGGTCAGACTCGTGTCCCCAGGGCGAGGCGAGGCGAGGCGAGGCAAGGCGAGCGCCGACTCCGCTCCGCGCATGCGCGAGGAGCGCCGCCTAAAGAGGACGGCGGCGGGGCCGTAGCCCTAAGAGGTTGTCGGTCCATCTTGTTCTTGGGAGGGGAGGGGAGGGGAGGGGATGGGAGGGGGAGGGGAGGAGGAGGGGAGGAGGGGATGAGACGGGAGAAAGAGGGGAGAGGGGAGGGGAGGGGAGGGGGAGGGGAGGATGGTGGGAGGAGGGGACGAGGAGGGGTAGTGGCAAAGGAAATTTGCCTCTTCCTTCCCCCCGGCCCCCCCGCGCGGGGAGGGGGCGGCGGCGCGCCGCCCGCTGCAAGTG